TTCGTTAAGAGTATTAACTCGACTGTTTTTTTATAATAAATGTACTAAATCAAAATTTACAATTCCAACCGATTAAAAGTATTGAACTTTTCCTCAAGTGTATCAACTCAAAAATCGAGTGAGCAAACGCAAACTAAACTTGATCATTTCCCATTGAATCGAGGCTTTGTAAGTGTTCATATGTATGACTTTGAAAGCTGCTTTAGTGCATTATTTGAAAATTTAATTATTTCACGTTGCGAACACCAGAGGCCATGGAAAAAGGGTTTTGTGAGCTGGCCCACAGAATGGTCCATTGATTGCGCTCTGATGATGTTGGTCTAGTTTTTCAAGCTATCCCCCGCTGAGCGTGTTTTTGGATTAAATGAAGCTGAAGCATATAGAAGGTTTAGGTGCATATTATCCCTTTTTTTGCCAGCCTGGAAAAATGATTTCGTTGTGGCTGCATTTCAAGGAAGCCCCTTGAGACTGGCCCACAATTGATGGGCGAAAGGGAAATGTGAAAATGAAATGGAAAGCATGCAATCAATAAACTTTAAAAGCATTTTATGGCACAGTTGCATGGCATAGTTTTTATGGCCAAAGTCTATAAGTAAATAAATAATTTTGCACATCGTATTTCCATTTCCAGCCAATGCTAAATAAATGGCAAATATCTATATATATATATATTGTTTAATTAAAATTGCTGTTATAAAATTTTTGCCTAACACAAATAGTTTACCATATAAGTACACAAAACTCTTAATAAATTTAATCTAAGCCGGTTGTAAATATGCTTTTTAAAATACATAGCCTAAATTCAATTAGAGACTTGATCGAATAAAGTTAAAACATTTCGAAAAGTTTAAGCTTCTTTGCCGAGAGATCAAAACTTTTGACAACCACAAAAATCATTTAAAAATAATAGTAAAGCTTCTTTATGGCCATAAATAATTGCGGAACCCCCGCCGCCCTCCCTGCTCGTATTTATTTAGCCCGTTCTTTGCTGATCCAAAAACTGAGTGGAGACAACTTTTTTAATTAAGCAATATTTAAATCTCTAACAACAGCAGCAGCGGCCAAAAATCCCATCAAAACTTTCAACTGTAAACAACGAAATTATGTTATGGCCGTCCGACATGGTCACTTCGCCCACTAGAGCCCACACAGATATAGCCGAAATCCATTTCCAAATATTCAGCATGTTAATTAATCTGTGGTTTCCCAGCCAAGACCAAACACTGACCAATCCCCCCCATCGGTTCCTTGTGCAATTTCGCAGGCCTTTCCTCCGAGGAGAAGCTGCACGGCGTGAAATACATTACGGAGTCCTTTGTGGGTTGCATCCGCAATGTGGTGCTGAGCTCCGGCAAGGCCGCCTCCGACCTCCTGCCCATCACCCCCCTGGTGGCCACCAAGCACGAGAACGTCAACGAAGGATGTTCGGACATGTGCGAGTCCCGGCACAACCTCTGCTTCGTGGGATCGCGCTGCATCAACCACTACGGCGGCATATCTTGCGACTGCTTTGGCACCCACTACGAGGGCGAGCACTGCGACATCTACAGTGAGTACTTTACTTTGAAAATATTCCACAAATTAACTAAACAGTAAGGTGAAACTTTTTTATTTAGATTTAACATGCAAAAGTTTTATTTTCCTAAATAGGAATAAACTTAAAATAGGATTTAATGCAAATTTCTTTTAAAAATATTGAAAGAATTGAATATTTATTGTATTAACAGATGGTATTTCAAAGTTTTTATAAAAAGTACTTCTTAGTAAGTATTTTCCACAAGAAAACTTTCTTTTATATAAGAATTTTCAATTTAACTTAACATATATGTCTTTTACAAAACAATTAGTTCCAGAAATTAACAAATTCTAGCACCTTTTGAATTCCAAACCTAAAAGGCAAAAACACATGTTAATTAATGCTTTTGCTTTGAAATTTTTCCGACTGTCATTCACATCCATCTAGCTCTGTCTAAATCCCAATATATCTCTGCATCTGAACATGGCCCTAGGGGCGCCATTTTGTTTTAATTATAAACTATGTTTGTTTGCTAGCGGTTAGCCACTGGCAGTACCCTCCCCTTTTGGTCGCTACAGTTTTAAACACGCTAATGACCTGACCATAAATTATGCAAAATAGTGTTTGACTTTTTGACTGTCGGCCAGCCTGGGCCACACCAGGGCAAAATGTGCGCAAAATTAGTTTGTTAAGCTCAATATATATACACCCCATAGAGACGACCACCAAAGCTGCCGGTTTTCCACTCCTTTCCTTTCCCTTCCCTTCAGCAACATCCGACATTTAGTTAATGACATAAAGCCAATTCCAGGCCGCCATAATCTCAATTAAGTCACGCGAGGCCATTATATAGGCAAGCCTATTAAAAATTGAGCAGCTCGCTTATGTATTTTGACATTGCACAATTTTCAGAGCTCTTTCGAAGCACTAACTTGGCATTCCTGCACGAAAATGGAAGTTAGCCTTTTTCCGCCACAAAAGGAATGCATTTCGCCATGATTTGTTATGGTTATATATTAATAGGTAATAATTATTAAAGATTATTATTAAATAATACAACAAATTTGTATATACTTTATTAACAGTTAAATTAAATAAAGTTTTTATTTACAAATGTATCTAAATTAATATTACCAAATATCTTTTATATGGTTTCCTATTCCATTGTTAAAATGTGTTACATAAACTTTAAATGTGTTACAAATTTTCATTCAAAAAACCTAAAGGCGAAATTTAAAAATACTCTCTCTCACAAAAATCTCCATAATCATAAAATCAAGTTACCTAACTACACTTAACTCTAGTAAGGGAATCCTCAACATGCATTCCTTAGAAGAAACCCCCCTGCATTTCAAATGTTTGCTAAAAATTTGCATGCAAATGATGACCAACACATGCCAGCGATGGAAAAAGGAAAAATCAAAATAAAATCCAGACTTCGCGGGTGGCAGTGGAATTAAGCGGAGTCCAGGGGAAATGTTGGGGAAACCGTGGAGGAGTATTGATGCAATGGACAGCTGCAAATTGCAAAATGAACAAAAAAAAGAACGCTAACGGTTGGCCAGCAGCCGTGACAGCGCTGGCCATTTTGAAAAAAAGCCGCGTGCCCTCTATGTCGTTTTCCTCCCCCGCTTTTCCGCATTTTCCGCATTTCCCGCTCCATATCTGTCTAAATGGCGTCTGTCAAGGACAACGAGCGACCGCCGTGACGTGCGAGTTTGTCAAGCATTTACAGCGCCTGCTGCTCTGCAACTGATCACAATTACGTAACGAGCGCTGGCAAGTGCAAGCAAATTACACAGATGTACCTCACCCACACGCCCACTTTTACCGCCCACCGCCCGCTGGTTTGCCGGTTGCATGTTGAACTGCTCCTGGAACGGAAACAGTGTCAGGCCATTAAAACCTCGCACATAGCAAGCGGTAGAACTGTTATGCAGAAAGAAAAAATAGGGGTTACAAAATTTAAAAAAAAATCAAAATTAAAAGAGATTAAGCTCCCTAAAAATCTCAACATCTACATTTTTGTTCTCGAGTAACTAAATGCCTATTGAATTTAAAAATCAGTCGTATTACTTATGAGATGAGAGTAAATTAAGAATGAGCATTTTGCTAAATTTGCTTAGTACTGCTTAAAAAGTTCAGGTAAAGTTTTCGAGATGATCAATTCATATAATAAAAAGATATTAAAAGACTCAATATGTTTTTGTAATTATCAGAAAAGTAATTATGTCGTATACACTTCGAATATATTATGGTAAACAAAATATAGTTGTGATAACTCTTACTAAACAAGCTTAGTAAGAATTTCCGAATTAATTTTTCAAATATTTTTATTTCCATAGAGTATAATTTTGGAATAGCAATACTTTGAAAAAACAGAAATATTCCGAAATAAAAATACCTTTCTCTCAGTGCTTGAAAATTGGGAAAATTCGCACAGGGTACGAGGGACACGAGACATAATCAAACGCAGACGCTTTTGTAATGCAATAACTAAAATGACAACTGCCAGTACAAGGACGAGCCTGTTCATGTGCAATTCACCCGGAATACCTCTCTCCCCAAAAGCCCCTCCCTCCGTACACTCATTCCGATTTTACAATTTTCCATGCTAAAAGTGTCAACGAAATGCTTTCAGTTGGGGAAATCATTAGCCTATTTGAAAAACCCAGGCATCAACATTTCTGAAAGAGACTGCAAGATTTTTCGCATTCTTCCGGCATAAACGAATTGAAATGCCGGCAAACTGAACAGATTGAGGGACTATAACTACCAAAGGGGAGGACAACATGTCCTGTGATGTCCGATATGATGACTCCGGGCTAAGTTCATCACTGGACTTTGGCAGACAGTGGTCAGCATCCATCAGCCGGCAGAGAAGCATTTTTCTGGTCCGATTCGAGCCAAAATTGCAAAGGGCATTTGTAAAATGACTTGCTTTATATCCTCCACAATTAAACATTGCCATTTGTTTTAGAATAATTGTATTTTATTTGACGCTTTTATTAATTGCCCCCTTTTAGTTTCACATGTCCAAAAATAATTTGTTGAATTTAGTTTATGTGTTAATTTTATGGCTGGTTTATGTTGTGACACAAAAAACAGAAAATAGCGGGTTGCGGTCTGTTTTGGCCTAATGATATTGTCACACCTTTAATTAGAGCTATGGTTTAAATAAATCATTTATTTATAAATTGAATCACCGGAAATCTATGAATCGGTTTTATTCAAATTTAAAATGCCGATTTAACGTGACAAAAAATATGTTTTTTAAGATGATTATACTGGAGAACATCAATGGAAAATTATGTGTTTTCTACGATTCAGATTTAATCATGCAGTCAGACTAATTTAAATTGGGATATATTATTTTAAATATTACATATTTATGTTGCATCTCCCACATTTGTCAATTTTAAAGGTATATATATATATATATCTAGATAATCTTCTAAACATGTTTACCCCATCTAAGCTGGCTATTCGTTAATAAGTCACACACATTTTGCTGTCTGTGTTCAGTTTGTTTAGCTCAAACACAAGAACACTAACAAACCCATCACCACAAATTGCTTGAGTCCACAAATTTGCAAGTTAATCTTGAGCGGAAATCATCAATACAGTACAGTAGTCCCTCGGAAACCGATCAGTATGACTGGACGCGAAGTTGCCTTCTCGGAGTTTTTTGTAAATGCTGAAAGTAGTCGAAGAACCAAGTTTCGGGCCCAAAAGGTGGCCCATGAACTGGTTATGAAAAACAAAGAGGTGCGCGACAAGTTAATCAACAACAAAGTGCCCACCTATTCGGAACTGCGAAGGATAATGCGATCGGCGGGCAAGGAGGCGGACCTAAATCCGGTCACCTATAAAAGTATGATAGAAATCCGACAAGCGCAAATCGATCATAGGCGCCTCAAAAATATCAAGTCCACTGGCGATTCCCTTGGATTTCGGGCTCGCATTATAAATCGCAACCAGTTGACATACGAATTCAATCAGAAGCAAGACATCTTTCGCAAAAACCTCGAGCTCCTTGGACGGATCAACAAGACCAATCGACTGAAGGGCTGCGTTGATAGCTTCAACCGCAATTTTCCCGCCCTTCAGCCGAATCGGATCAAGATCCGTGCCCTTGCCGAGCGTTTGAGCCAGGAAAACAGGCAGCTGGGGTGTCGCCTCTCGGCAGTGAAGTCTAAGGTTGGTAAAATTAAGTTTTGGGGGAATAACTACCATTAACTAGGTTGGAATTAATATTATAAATTAAAATACAATTTAAGTATAGTTACTGATACCAAAAATATTGGGAATATTGCCTCAGAATTCAACATATATTAAATAATTCTATATTGGTACTTTTATTTTTTCGTTTTTACCTTCAATAATAAAGGTAAAAAAAATAAAACAGTGTGTTTTATGCGCAGCAATGAAGTTCAGAATTAAATCTCTTGTAATGTATTTTCAAGTTTTTTGACTACCATTAGAAAGAATGTACAATGAAGGTTCTATAATATCAATGCATATTAATAATATGCACAGTTTTTGTTAATATGGACTAATGGGCTGTAAAAATTAAAAATTGAAATATTTTTAAGTCTGACTTTTTACCCCAAAGGTGGACTCGCACAGTGCTTGGGTGGCGCCTGTGAAGCCTCTCGAGCAGAAGGCTTCTGATCAAACAGTATCCACCTTTATGCCTTATATGCCATCACCTCGTTTGGGAAAACGAAGTGCCCATGTCCTGCTGCGCCCCATCGTATATTTTGACCTGGCTGTTCGCGAGAATAACCAATTCTTGGGCCGATTACTGCTGCAACTTTACACGGAACTGAGTCCCGAGGTGGTGCTTGAATTCGTGCGAATGGCCACCCACAACGATGTAGGTTGTCACAGTTTTGTGCGAATATTCTCGAATCTTTGGATGGAGGGGGAACTGGTGCCGGGCAGCAACGATCCGTTGCGCAATCACCACAGTGTGAAGCACTCCTTTCTGGACCCCAGCAAGTTAACCGGGGTGATCTCGTATCCGTGGGACTATCGCCGCCACTTTCCCCAGGGTCTGCTCAGCTACACCATCAGCTTCAAGCCATCGGTGGTTCCATGGCAGCGGGTCATCTTTGGACGCGTCTGCGGTGGCCTCAGGGTCCTGCAGAACTGCCACGAATTCGGCACCAAAAATGGCAAGACCAAAAAAACCGTGATTGTCACACGTTGTGGCCTGCTCTAATGGGACTTCCTATATACTCGTATAAACATATATTTCCTGCCTCATTATGCCCCTGCATTAACATAAGCCCAGCGAAAAACTTGCGTTGGCCCAACAAAATTGTAGCACATAGGTGTGTGCTCCAATGCAGCATAATGTTTTTTCTCCAACAAAATGCAAATAAAACTATAAAGTAAGCTGATATCTGCGTGGGGTCTGGCCACTGGGAAAAAAATAGGGAACATATTTTCAACGGCTCTAATTTGAAAGGTTTTTAGAATTAAGCATGGAAAAAGTCTTAAACGGAATAGTCTTAAATTGGAAATTAAAAATAAACACCCGAATAAATTCAGAAAATTATTTAGAACTTCTATTTATTAACATAGCACAGTAAATCAAAACTTTCTGTAAGTGTGGAGCTGTAGGGCTATTTCGTGGGTTGATATGCGTTATCGGCTGGGCGTGGCACACGTGTGCAGTGTCAGATAAGCGGCCAAAACGGTGCTGCTGTCATGACTCCACCCACAACCACCCATCATCCTTAACCACCACCCACTGCACCACCAGCGGCAGTAAAAAAAATTCTTGAAAATTGCGCGTTACACGATTTGCACATTTGGTCCACGGGCAGGACAGGAGGCCAGGATCTGGATCGGATGGGAACAGGACACAGCCACAGCGAACATCAGGCAAATGCCTAAAGGCCGCCATAGAGCAAACAAAATAATCTATTTTTGTGGTCCACTGAAGCTTTATTCTCCGCATTTTCTTTTTTTGTTCTGTGTGCAGCAAGTAGATAATGAACAAGTGGCATGGGGATAACATAAAAAAATGGAAACAAGGGTCAAAGTTTCAAGTACTCTGGCGGATAATATCTATGCTAAAATATAAAAATATGCAAAATAAGTAAACGAACTTTTTTTCCATCGAGAGAGCTAACAGGTGTTTTTAGTAATGACTTTTTGTGGCTATTGTTATGTATAAATATTCGGACTGAAATTTTCGTTTTGATTTGTTGATGATGAAACAATATTTATTTATTATTTGGTTATAATAAATATTGGACATTTTTACATATTTTTAAAAAACCTATTTTTGAGTACTAAAATCATAAACATTTTTAAACAAATTTTAAGGACATCAAAGGTTTAAAGCTATCTAAGTTTGCTCAAGGTTTTAGGTAAACTAATAAATAATTTTAGCAAATAGACCCCAACTAACCAATTATTTAAATATTAAATTAATAAAATCCACTGATTTGTTTCAGCGGCCACAATAATCACTTTACGAGGGGCCAGCTATGTGTCCTACAGGATATACGACTGGAAGGATCGCGTTCATTCCTCAACCCGGCGTATAAGTCTGATGTTCCGAACGAATTTCGACGATTCAGCTTTGTTTTACGCCAGTGGAGAGTCGCTGAAGCATCAGTATATAGCGGCTGCCATCAAGAACCAATCGGTTCATGTGGAAATGGACTTTGGCGACAACGTGATGAGTACCATACTCACAGACGACCTGACCCGAGGCTATTGGCACAATTTAACGATTCTTCATGAACAACGGACGGTGAGCATTATCCTGGATCAACAGCAAAAGGTACTGGAGCTACCGCCGACGGCCAGTGGGAATATGCTCTTCGATCCGGAGATATATTTCGGAGGAGGACCGGAACTGCACAAGAAGAAGGGTCTGGCCTCCCATAACAATTTCGTGGGCAGTCTGAAGTATGTCTACTACAACGACATCTCCATTCTATACGAGCTGCAAAGGGGGAATCCCAAGCTGCACTATCACGGTGAGTGGAGTGCAATTTAATATCGAGTGTTGCGATTTGCCGTTGACATATTTGGCATTCTCTTACGAGTCTCCCACTCACTCTATCTATCTATCTACCTATCTAACTATATATATCTATCTATATATATATCTATCTATCCATCCGTTTCGGTTTGTGGGTCAGGCGTGCTGGAGGCGGAGTTTGTCGAGAACGAAGTGAATGTCATACCCATCACCTATCCCTTTGCGACATCACACATTTGGTGGCCCATAAATCACGCCGAAGAATTTAATATTAAATTCGATTTCCGCAGCAGTCGGCCGGGAGCAGTGCTGGCCTACAGTGACGTAACAACCAGTGCCGGAAATGGCTTCTGGGAGGTAAGTGTGAGCATTCAAGCATTTATCCATCTGTGTACCGAGAAAAAGGGGTTTTTAGAGAGTCGATTTTAGTCAAGGTGGAGGCTTTACATTTATTCTGTTTATCTATACATAAACTAAAGCCCTGATAAACTAAAGTCTGATACGGTAGAACATTTTTTTTAAATTTATACAATAAAAATGCAGACATTTAAAAAGTTAAAAAACAAATTTTATAGTGGTTTAACTTAAACTTAATTTTGTTTATAGAATAGCTAGCTTTGTTTTAAACATAATAAATTCATTGTTTTACAATTTGAAATAAATATTAAATGATTAATATTTTTAAAGAAATTATTTGAAAAAAAATGACCATAAAAAAACTGTTTTTTCCACAAGAAATTTATAAATTTTTTCCAGTGCCTTTGATACACATTCATATGCTCACTGCTTGAGAATTTGAGCTGAACACACGCATTACACACAGCCACAAGCACGCACACACAGACAACAGCTGGACGTTTCCACCGACGACGTGCTCCTTAAGACGTCTTAGCAGACTGAGAAAATGAAATGCAAATCAAATGTGCCTGTGGTTGTGCCGACTGCATGTGTGTGTGTGTGTTTCTGTGCTGGCTTGTGTATGAATCTTGCATTGCAATTGCTTGGGCTCCAGCCCAAAATACCCCACCCCAAAAAACTCCCACATTTTCCAGGATTCGCAGGCTCCATATGTGTGTGTGTGTATATGTAGTGTGGCATACATTGTGCAGCCAACGAAAATGTACCAAAAACACTGACTGCTATTGGGAATGCGGAAAATGCAATTAAATTTAAGCGCTGTTGAGTGAAACTCGACTCCGGCTAATGCAATGAAAAGTCAAATGAGCTTAGTGTTTTGTAATTGTTTGGCATTATTCATCTCGTCGGTGGCCCAAGGCGATTGTGTGCTCCTGCAATGACTGCATATTCTTTAAATATTTATTTTCTGTATTTACTATGAACTTCTGAAGAAAAAAATAAAATGGTTTAACATGAAAGACAAACATAGATGCATAGGCCTGATTTATCATGAGATACAAATATTTTTAATACAGAAAGGACTCATAAACATAAATTCATGCTTGAAAAAACTGGACACGAATATTTACATTTATATGCAGATATTTTGTACTAAAACGTAACTTATAGCAAATAAAGAGACACATTTTACTTTTGTAAATGGTTACTGAGACCTAATTGGATTACCTCAAATAATTTTCAAAGACTTATTTTGATGTTTTCTTTTCAGTGAATTTCTTGAACAAATAAATTCAAATAAAAGCATTTTTAGACGCAGCAAAATGATACCAAAAAGAACTCACCACAAGGATATTAGCCACAATTGCCTAGAATCCTCTTTGCCTGCCCTTTTATTTGAAATAACAATTTTTACAGATTTATGTCATGGCCATGGTAGAACAATTGAATGGAAGTTAAATGTTTCCATGAAATACCAATTTATAACCAGACAAGCAGAGAGATACTGGGCAAAACAGATTGAGAACCGGCATGAAAGTGCGTTGTAATCGATCACAAAAACAATTGAACAGTTTAATGCCAGTCGAGCAACAATGCTAACCCAAAAACCTGACCTATACCCACACTTTGCCTACACATAAGTCTCTCTGTGGGCTGACGTTTATAGGGATGTCAGTAGCATTTATCTGTATTTAAGCAAACAAACCTTGTCTTGGCCTGTCCAAGAACGTTTATTTGGTTACTTGTCAATGTACGGCAATGTACGTAGTACGTACTAAAAGGAATATTCATGTGTGCCCGGCCGTATTTATTTGCATTTTATTGTTGATTTTGTTCCTTTTGATTGCAAGACGCACTCCCCCCGAAAAATAAACCCAAAATGTCATTGCAGAGAGACTCTGACTTATTGGCATTGCAATAAAATTGCCGTTGTAATGCCAATGAATATTTATGCCGCAGGCCATTCAATTTTGCATCGACTGACTCTACGGCTTATTTGCCATTGCCAATTGCCGTTTGACGATTTATGCGCACCCAAATTAATACTAAATTGATTGTGTCAGGTTTTATAATATGGCTCTGTTTATATTTTTTGTTTCCCGAATAATTCAAATGCTGCCAGTCGTTTTCGGACACGCGGACAATTGGGGTAAAATTAATAGCTCGATGGGATTTAAATTTCGGTAAATAGCTTGCAGAAGCTAAATTTTTTAAATTTAACATTTTTATATTCAAGGGAAATTATTTTTTTCTTTCTCAAGAGTTTTGATAATATATTTATAAAAAATATCTTGCATAAAAATACACTTTTATAAGTGATTTTAGGACTCTAGTTTAATATTCGTAAAAAGAAATTTTTTAAGCTTAAGCTTTCTTTAAATAGAGTACATTTTTCAACATATTTTTAAATAAACAATATATCCCGTATCCCGTAGAAAGCAATATTTATAGCTACTATGTTAACCGCAGCTTTATGTTTACGCGATATGCTATCTGCATTTGGCCAGTTTCAAAAACGCATCAGTTACAAGCTTTTATTTATTTACTATTTATCCCGGCGTAGGCCACAAAATTGCCACCTGCGTGTTGCGTATGGAGCTCAACAAACTAATAAATTGCCAACAGTATTTTCAAACCCCCTGACATTCGTTGGGGCCCCCGAAAAAAAAAACAAAAAAAATAATAAAAACACCCATGGAAGAGCCCAAACAAGTGTATGCAACATCGGATGTCATGTCACATGCTGCACAGCGGGTTTGGATTTCGGAGGGTGTGACATAAAAACTATGCAACCGCATAAATCGCGAATCACAAATCGAAAATCGAATTTATTGACAGCGCGCAAATGGGCGAAATAGGCAAACAAAACGACAAAACTCGCGGTGGCAACGGAGGAATAAAAATTCTTTTGAAATATTGTCACAGAGTGCGACGAATGTCCGGGTGGATAGGGTGGATTGGGTGGTAAAGTGTGTTTGCCTTTAAACATAACGCTCTGACAAAAATCTAATGAAATATGCAATAAAATTTGAGTGTT